CCGCCGAAGCAGAAAAATTTGTAATTTATAGCGATGCCTCATACAATGGTTTGGGTTACGTTCTTATGCAAAAAGGGAGGGTCATTGCTTATGCCTCCCGCCAACTAAAGACTCACGAAAGGAACTATCCAACTCATGATCTAAAATTAGCTGCGGTGATCTTCGCCCTCAAAATCTGGCGTCATTATCTCTACGGAGTAACCTGCGAGATCTACATTGATCACAAGAGTCTCAAGTATCTGTTTACATAGAAGGAACTGAATATGAGGCAACGACGATGGCTAGAATCTATGAAGGACTACGATATAGAGATTCATCATTATCCCGGCAAAGCTAACGTAGTAGCAAACGCATTAAGTCGAAAAACGTCCAAAAGTTTGGCATGTACCCTCGTTCCCCACAAGATCAATGGGTTGCTCACCAATATAATCGTAGAACCAGAGCTGATTGAAGAAATTAGAGCCTGCCAATATGAAGATAAACTTTTGAAGAAAAATTACGAGGAACAAGGAAGCACGGCCGATCCTGATTTCACGATAAGCAATAGAATACTAAAATTTCAGAATCGAATTTGTGTACCCGACCTTCCAGAACTCAAGAAAAGGATATTGGTAGAAGCTCATAGCTCGAGGTTTGTGATCCATCCTGGCAATACGAAGATGTATCTCGATCTGAAGGAATACTTCTGGTGGATAGGAATGAAGAAAGACATAGCAAGCCATGTCTCCAAATGCCTGCGTTGTCAACAAGTTAAAGCGGAACATCAGAGACCTGCAGGAATGTTGCAACCACTCCCTGTTCCTGAATGGAAGTGGGAACACATTACTATGGACTTCGTGGTCGGGCTACCACAATTAGTCTCGAAGAATGATGCAATATGGGTTATCGTAGATCGATTGACAAAGTCGGCGCATTTTCTACCAATTAGAATCATGTATTCCCTCTCTAAGTTCGCTACTCCCTACATTAAGGAAATCGTTCGCTTACATGGCACCCCAGTTTCAATCATATCCGATAGAGACCCTCGTTTCGTGTCTCACTTCTGGAACAAATTACAAGAAGCTTTGGGAACCACTTTAAGGTTTAGCACGGCTTATCACCTCCAAGCTGATGGGCAATCTGAAAGGACGATCCAGACCTTGGAAGATATGTTACGTTTGTGTGTCCTAGACCTCAAAGGTAACTGGGATGATCATCTACCTTTAGTGGAGTTCGCGTATAATAATAGCTACCATGCAAGTATTGGAATGGCACCATACGAGGCACTGTATGGAAGGAGATGTCGATCACCTCTGTGTTGGATGAAAGTCAGAGACAGAAAATTTTTAGGCCCCGAGATCGTGCAAATAACGAGTGATAAAATTCAACTCATCCAACAACGAATTCGCACTGCCCAGAGCCGCCAGAAAAGCTATGCAGATACACGAAGACGAGACTTAGAATTTCAAATAAGAGATCATGTGTTCCTTAAAATCTCACCGACAAGAGGGGTAATCCGATTTGGAAAGCGAGGAAAGTTAAGACCACGTTACATCAGCCCATTCGAGATACTCGAAAGGATTGGTCATGTAGCATATCGTCTTGCGCTTCCACTCGAACTATCCAATGTCCATAATGTGTTTCATGTTTTGATGCTTCGTCGATATCTTCGAGATCCAGAGCATGTTGTCGATCATGAGAACCTAGAAGTCCAAGAAGATCTCTCCTACGAAGAGCAACCTGTACAGATTCCCGATCGTCGTGATCAGATCATTCGAAATAAAACTATACCCTCGTAAAGGTCTTATGGAGAAACTATCATGTCGAAGAAGCAACGTGGGAAACTGAAAGCCAAATGCGAGCCAAATACGTGCAAGTAACGAGTGATAAAATTCAACTCATCCAACAACGAATTCGCACTGCCCAGAGCCGCCAGAAAAGCTATGCAGATACACGAAGACGAGACTTAGAATTTCAAATAAGAGATCATGTGTTCCTTAAAATCTCACCGACAAGAGGGGTAATCCGATTTGGAAAGCGAGGAAAGTTAAGACCACGTTACATCGGCCCATTCGAGATACTCGAAAGGATTGGTCCTGTAGCATATCGTATTGTGCTTCCACTCGAACTATCCAATGTCCATAATGTGTTTCACGTTTTGATGCTTCGTCGATATCTTCAAGATCCAGAGCATGTTGTCGATCATGAGAACCTAGAAGTCCAAGAAGATCTCTCCTACGAAGAGCAACCTGTACAGATTCCCGATCGTCGTGATCAGATCATTCGAAATAAAACTATACCCCTCGTAAAGGTCTTATGGAGAAACTATCATGTCAAAGAAGCAACGTGGGAAACTGAAAGCCAAATGCGAGCCAAATACTCGCACCTCTTCGAAAACCAAGGTACGTCAAGTTTGAGGACAAACTTCTTTTAAGGAGAGGAGAAATGTGACACCGGAATGTTTTAAATTACAATAAATAGAACTTAAAAATAATATATATATACAATGACAATAATGGTAACTAAATAAATAATAATAAGTAAAGGCATAATTTAGGGAATTGGGAATTTTATGGTTAAAAGAAAAAAAATAAAAAATAAATAAATACGTTGTGAAAAAAACTACACCTTAAATATATTAGTAAGTGGTAAGTGAGGTTAGGTCGTAAGGTTTTTAGACATGAACCTAACTTATAGTCATATATAATTTTAGGAGTCATCATGAATTACCAAAGAAGATAATAATGTTTAAAATTAGTAAAGTGGTCAAAATAGTCCTAAGGTCTAAGAGTAGTCAATGGTCAAAGAGATAAAACCAAATTAATAAATAATTAAGATAAGGGTGGTGGACTGGAGTGATCAGCAAGATTTGATCTCCACGCGTCAAAATACAGAACCTTCCATATACTTGTCACCCACGATTTTCTTCTTATAACTAGGGAAGAAGGACAGGTTTAAGGCAATGGGAATAGAGAGTAGAAAAGAGAAAGAGACGGGTGAAGATCGTGAGTAGTGGAAAGAAGGAATAAAGAAATTAATTTAAGGTGAGTTATATTATACCTTGGGTTACCAAAATATATTTTACTGATGTTTTGACTTACCAAAATCTATTTTATACTAGTTATGTTTTATTAGTATATTAATAAAAGTTATGTTTTATAAATGTTTCAGTTATGTGGATTATTTTCTGAATCCTATTTGCTTAAAAGGAAACCCATGGATATGTTTGTTTATATTTTAAAGAATATTTGATTATGACCTTATAAGCAATTATGTTTTGTAAGTACCACCACGAGAGTCCCACGCCTTGGGGGACTTAAAATAACCATTGACTAGTGTTTGACCACTTTGTGGTCCAGTGTTATCATGGATCCATTGACCTCTGTAGTGATTGTTACTTTAGTGATGTACTGTGGTTATAGTGATTATTTCAGTTTCTGGCACTTAATTAATTTGTGTATTCAACTCAACTCAATTTACGTTAATGTTTTAGCTTAAATAAATATCCATGGCCATTTTGTGCCCCTACACTCATAGTATGATATTTCTCACTCTGTTATGTGCTTATAGCTGTTACCCCTTTCAGGTGACGAAGTTTAGCGGGATTAAGATGGAAAATGAATCGCTATGTTATTTGTTTTCTATCTTTTATTACTAGACTCTTGTAATACAATGAAATTCAAGTAACTATGTTTTACTTCCTTTTAAATAAACAGTTGGTACCCAGTTATTTATTTTAATTTATTTAATTTATTCGCTTGCACTGTGACTACAAAATTATCCGAATCATACATATATATATATATATGTATGTATACCCAGTTATCTTTTATCTTGTTACGACGCCGAGCCTTTGGATATCGGGTTTGGGTCGTGACAGGAAGTCTGTAGGATCTATATATATATATATGTTTGTGTGTGGATGCTATAAATTTGTGTGATTTATCATTGCTTTTGTATGATGTGTGAATCTAATAATACATCTTATTCTTATTACAATTTTAGGATCAGTTCTACTACGGATAAATTTATGATAAAAAATTCTTCCAAGCAAGCCACTATGGATAAATTTCTAAAGAGAAAATTGATTGTGTCACAAGATTTATCTCCTATCCGAGAAACTTATGGTAGTGATCTAATAGAACATTCTTCCAAGAAAAGTCATATTGACTTGGAAACTCTTCCCACTGATCTTGGATTACGTAAAAAAATATTAGAGTATCATCCTAATGATCAATATGAGATTAGAAGGGCATATTTGCTAAAAAGTCCTTTGTCAACCTAGTAACCACAAATTTCCACAAAGAAATATCGGTGGGGTTTTGCGTCGATTTAATCCAAAATGGTTTAAAGAGTTTGGCAGTTGATTAGAGTATAGCATAAAAAAAGATGCGGCATTTTGTTTGTGTTGTTACTTATTTAAGCTTGACATTGGAAAACAAGCCGGAGGTGACACTTTTGTTACTGGAGGCTGCACATCTTGGAATAAAAAAGAAAGGCTAGTAGTTCATGTTGGAGATTGCAACAATGCTCATAACCAAGCTTGGAAGAAGTGTGAAGATTTAATGAAGCAAAAACAACACATCCAAGAAGTTTTCTGTAAGCAATCAAATCAAGCTAAAATTGACTATCGAACTCTCTTAAATACATCAATTGACTACGTAAGATTCCTTTTATGCCAAGGGTTGGCTTTTCATGGTCATGATGAATCAGAGAATTCAAGTAACAAAGGAAATTTCCTAGAGATTTTACAGTTTCTTGTTGATCACAATGAGAGCATAAACAAGGTTATCTTGCAAAAGGGTCCTAAAAATATGAAGTTCGTGACACCTGAGATTCAAAAAGATATAGCAAATTGTGCTGCATGTGAAACTACCAATGCCATCATTGAAGAGATTGGAAATAAGTTCTTTGCGATTTTAGTTGATGAGTCTCGTGATGTGTCAACTAAAGAACAAATGGCAGTTATTTCGTGATATGTGGACAAAAGAGAGATCATTACAGAAAGGTTTCTTGGTTTCATGCATGTCGCAGATACCATTGCTTTATCCCTTAAGGCAACAATTGAATCCTTGTTTTCTAAACATGGTTTAAGTTTATCAAGAATACGTGGTCAAGGTTACGATGGAGATAGTAATATGCAAGGTGAATTCAATAGTCTTAAGTCCTTAATTATGAAAGAGAATGTAGAAGCGTTTTATGTTCATTGCTTTGCTCACCAACTTCAATTGACTCTTGTAGCTGTTGTAAAAAATTACATTGATATTGCTTCACTTTTCAATTTGGTTAGTAATGTCTTGAATGTTGTTGGAGCTTATTGTAAGCGTTGGGATTTGCAGAGAGAGACACGAGCTACTAAAGTTGTAGAATCATTAAGCAATTATAAGATTCAAAGTGGGCAAGGGATGAATCAAGAAATTGGTCTTAAGCGGGCTCGTGACACGCGTTGGCGATCACATTATGGAACACTTCTAAACTTGATTTCCTTATTTGCTTCAGTGATAAATGCTCTTGAAGTTGTTGAAGAGGATGGCTCACACTCGGGGTAAAGAGCTGATACTCGTACTTTTATATGTGCATTGGAATCCTTTGATTGTTCATTTAATCTATACCTGATGAAAAATATCTTGTCAATCACAAATGAATTATCTCAAGCTTTGCAAAGGAAGGATCAAGACATTATAAATACTATGTCACTAGTCAAACTGTGCAAGCAACGATTGCAAACAATGCGAGATGAAAGATAACAATCTCTATTAACTGAGATTTCCTTATTTTGCAAAAAGCATGATATCCCTATTTCTAATAAGGATGATATATTCATACTTCCAGGGAGATCGCGACGTAGGACCCCACAAATTACAAATTTACACCATTATTGCATTGAGCTATTTTATACAGTTTTAGATATGCAACTTCAAGAGCTAAACAATCGTTTTACTGAGTTAAACACCGAGTTACTTATTTGTGTGGCTTGCTTGAATCTGAGAAACTCATCTTGTGCTTTTGATAAATCGAGATTGGTTCATCTTGCTCAATTATATCACCTGAGTTTTCTACAGTGGACCTCTTGGCACTTAAGAATTAACTTGAAAACTATGTTATTGATATGCGCTCACACAATGAGTTTTCTGAATTAAAAGATGTTGGTGACCTTGCAAAAAAGTTAGTAGAGAGAAAAAGAGATATTGTATATCCTTTGGTCTATATGCTTGTCAAACTGTCATTGGTTCTATCAGTCACAACTGCAACTGTGGAAATATCTTTCTCTGCAATGAAATTCATAAAAAAATGATTGCGTAACAGAATGGGTGATAGTTAGATGAATGATTGTTTGGTTACATATATTGAAAAAAGATCTGTTTGATAGCATAACTAATGAGGCCATTATGCAGCGATTTCAGAAAATGAAAAGTTGTCGCAAACAATTGAGTAGTGTATATATTTATTTATTTTTGTTGAAGTAATGGTGTTAATATCCCAATATTTTGTTTTTACTTGTAATTTCACTAGTTTGGGTTACTTTGTCAATGTGATTTGGGAATATATGAAATTTACAGAGTATTATGTGAATGTTAATGCTGACAGATTGTGTAGAACTAAAAATATGATATATAACATTGATGATGCTTTGTTAAATGACCCCACTAAAGGAAATTCCTGGCTATGCCACTGGTGGCTAGGGTGCAGTGTCTGACCTACGTAAACACGTTCAAGCACAACATTTCAAAACACAATCAATTCATTCAGCTGGTTCTTAAACCTATTCGGTACTTGTTCGTTTGGTTATTCCTATTTATTCCTTAATTTCTCTCATGTTCATGCTATGCATATAAATGTGAAATACATTTGAAAACCATGCAAATGGAGTCCTGAAAGTCCGAAAAACGGAAAGAAAACAAAACCGGACCGCCCTGAAAACCACACGTGCGGAACCACCACAGCACGTATGCCCCATATGTGCAATTAAAGCATAATACACTTTGGAACAAGAGAGTTTTGGTCGCACGTGCGGTCTGGGTAAAATCCAATCCGAAAAATGTTTTTTACATTTGAAACTCAAGCTTTTCAAAATCTAACTTCAATTACATGCATCTCAAGGCCCAAACCCCTTTAAAACAACTTTAATATAACATATATAACTTTAAATAACAACCATAACTTCAAATCAAACCTTAATTTTCATACACAAGGTCAAATTCTTTGGGAAACTTTTAGAATCACGAACTATAACTTTAAGAGCTTCAACTCAAGCTTAAATGTAGAGATTCTTTTGAAATCATGAGAGGCCATGCAAGAAAACAAGTTTGTGGTCATGATTTTCATGAACTTATGCCATGCATGTTCAAATCTTGAACTAATTCCTTCAATTCCTTTCTTTTATGTTCATGTAGGTTCTCACTCTAAACTTAACCTTAAAACCCTTAAACAACCATGAATCCATTCAATTTAAGCTTCAATCTAGATGATGAGTGTGTAAGCCCTAATTTTATGAGATTACTAAGAAATTCTTACCTTAATGCTATGTTTGGTTGAGGGATTTGGAAAGAGAAAGGGAAAAGGTGTGTGAAATGTAGGTATATTTTATTCATATTTCACCGACTATTTCCATTTCCCTTTCCAAATCCCTCCTCAAATCCTTCAGCCAAACATAGAATAAAGGGTTGATTACTGAAGATCTTGTTTATGTGAGGTCTCGGTGTCCCACATCGGGAAAGGAGGGAGGGTTCCTGGGTTATAAAAGTAAAAACCCTTATATAGCATCAATGCCTTTTTCCGAGTGGTAAAATCCTTAACAAAACTACTTAGTTAAGCGTACTTAGGCTGGAGTAGTTTTGGGATGGGTGACCCACTAGGAAGATCAAATCCATGCAGGCGTGACCTAAAGCGAACAATATCGATGATATGTGAAGGGTTGGGGTGTTACAAATGGTATCAGAGTCGACTCTCCAGAGTACCGAGTGTGGGCCCCTAGTGTCTCTCGGTGCATGTGGCTAGGCTTCTGAGCTGGTAGGCTTCTGCACGAGGACGTATAGCCTTAAGGGGGGTGGGTTGTAAGCTCTTGGTGTCCCACATTAGGAATGGAGGGGGAGTTCCCACCCACCGAGAGACACTAGGGACCCGCACTTGGTATTCCGGAGAGTCGGCACTGATACCATTTGTAATGCTCCAACCTTTCACATGACATCGATATTGTTCACTTTAGGCCACGCCCGCACGGATTTGTTATTCTCAGTGGGTCACCCATCCCATAACAACTCTAGCCTAAGCACGTTTAATTGGGGAGTTCTGCTAGAGATTTCACCACTTGGGAAAAGGTCTCGATGCTATATAAGGGTCTAGGTTTTTACTTTTATACCTGGACCCTTATATAACATCGAAGCCTTTTCCCAGGTGGTGAAATCCCTAGCAGAACTCCCCAGTTAAACCTGCTTAGGCTAGAGTAGTTCTAGGATGGGTGACCCACTGGGAAGAACAAATCCGTGCAAGTGTGGCCCAAAGTGAACAATATCGACAACATATAAAGAATTAGGACGTCACAGTTATAACTTTAAAAAAAAAATTAATACATGTGCCCTTTTTATAATTTTCCTTAAACATACTATATATGAATAAACAAAACAAAAAATACCAAATTACTTTACTTTACCACATGACAATTACGATACTACCCTTATCACTTTCATTTCTTCATTACTTAAAACTATATCTATTTTCCAATTCTAACAGTTCCATCACAACCACCACTACATGCAAACATTTTAATGTCACCCTTACATTGTGCAAACACCCCTTATCCGGTTATTTTTTATAGTCACTCTCTTCCCTACTACCCATAATCCTTCCTCTTACCATGCTCTATTACATCTCATCTCTTCCAACTTCCAAATTCCAAATTCTACATTCGAACTCTCTAAGATATTTCATTAATACATGGGAAAGGTATTTCGTCATCATTTAATAAAGGCCCTCATTCCCTTACTTTCCACCATAACAATACCCCATCATCTACTACTACTACTTGTAACACAGAATAAAGCACACATAGAAATGGAAATAGATAAAGGTAATGCAAAGCTACAACGAGTGCGATCCCTATTTTCTTTATTATCTAATTTGTTGATTGCAAGTTATACATGAATCACAAGTTCATACGAAGGGGTAGCAATGGAAGTAATGGAAGTGAGTAAGGAATAACAATTGATAAATGGGTACTGAGGTGAGAAAAGGGTAATGATTGGTGATTAAGGTAGGTAAATAGTGGGGATATGAGACTAGAAATGGTAGATAAGGGGTTGAGTGAAGGGATGAATGGGACATGTACGCCTGAGATGAGAATTAATGGATGATGCTAGTCGACTAAGGGATGAGAGGAGCTAGGGCTAGTAGTAACAGTTAGTGATGGGTGAGAGTGGTTACAATACATTTATTTTGTCTTTTTGTTCACTATCTTATTTCATTTATCGATGTGTGATGAATGGTGATGATAGAGTGAAAAAAGGTTATGGGAGAGATGATGGATTTATTACTTATGTCACATATTGCATATAAGCCATGTTTGATTTGGAGTTTGGGAAGTGGTATTGGATTAATAATCCATGGACTTCACTTACATCATTTTGTTTGTAAAAGAATGGTATGGGATTACTAATTCCATAAGACAGATGGGATTGCCAGTCCACTCCCATGAATTGATGGCTAAAAGATCATTTTGTCCTCTATTTTACAAAATTAGCGAAGTTATCTTCTATGTGATAATGGCTTTTATGTAATTTGTCTATTTAATCCTAACTAACTAATACAACAACACTACTGCACAAACAAATATATTTTATCTTGTATTTCCAATCTAATACCACCACACTAATAATTTTCTCACTCAATTCTACAATACTCATAATCACATACAACCTAATCCGCAAAACAAACTTAGTTCTACATATGTTGTATTGAGAGTAAAGCGGGTATTCTGTAAAATAAAAATGTTGATAACAACAAAATTAGGACTCATTTGGGGATACGATATTTTAGTTAAAAATTGAAAACGTCACTAGAATTTAAATTTGATGAAAATTTAGTAAAAATTGTATTCTAACCGTTTCACCAAATTGGTATCAAATGAAGGGAGTCATACTTTTTTCATCAAATCAATAGAGCTTTTAACCTTTCTATTAGGCTTGTTTATTTTGATAATTTATTTAATTATGTTTTAATTTATTTGAAAGAGAAAAATAGAATCCAAAATTTATTTTGATGATTTATTTAATTATATTTTAATCAAAATTTATTTTGATGATTTATTTGAAAGAGAAAAATAGAATCAAAATTTATTTTGTCCCATTATTTATCACCTAAATTTTTATCCTAAATGTTGTTAGAATGTATTTAATATTTGATTAAATCAAGAGTTCAAACAACCCAAAACAAAGATTCAAACAGCCTAGCACAGCAGCAAGGCAAAAGGTTCAAAAGGTTCAAGTGGAAGATATTCAAATTAGTAATGATGGAAGTACAACGACTATAAACGGCTATAAAGGTTCAAGTAGAA